ATTTATCCAGTATGTGGCAGAAATAGAACTTAAACGTAGCTCTTTCAATCCACTGCCAACATTCTAAAATACAAAAAATAAATAATGCAATCTAAAATAATCACCTGGTACAGACAAATAAGTGAATAAATCAGAATGTTAGAGCAGATCAAAATTAGCATAAATTATTCAGATCGCTGAATCATTAGTTTTAACCTTTTATTAACTTTAAACTTTACATGATATAGGGATCCCTGGGTGGCGCAGCGGTTTGGCACCTGCCTTTGGCCCGGGGCGCGATCCTGGAGACCCGGGATCGAATCCCACATCGGGCTCCCGGTGCATGGAGCCTGCTTCTCCCTCTGCCTGTGTCTCTGCCTCTCTCTCTCTCTCTCTCTCTGTGACTATCATAAATAAATAAAAAAAAAAATAAAAAAATAAACTTTACATGATATATACTAAGCCATGTAGTTAGTTTTAAAGCATTTCTACTTTATCTCTTTCATAACTATACAAGTTATATTTCAGAGTCATGAGAGATGATAAAGTTTTCAGAACAAAATAAAGACGTATCAGTGGGAGCATCCAAATCATATTGTTCCTAGAAATAATGGATAGAATTCTATCCATTATTGTAGTAGCTAACTTTATATAGTACCTACTACCAACAAAATACTGTTATATAAACAAAGTTATTGTATATCTTGAATTCATTTGACTATCTCAATCACTCATTGAAGAAATTAAAACATCTGGAGGTCTACTAAATAGCCTTAGATCCCATAGCTGAGAAGTAGTGAAGCTGGAATTTGATCACAGCGAGTGAATTATCAGTCTTTGCTATCCTAGGAAATACTTAAGTCATGAAATCTGTTTTAGCTTTATTGTAGATAATGGTGATTGTGGAAAACCCATCTTACCCAGTGCCCAAAGAATGTGACAAGACTGTCAATCATTTGTTAAATAAAAACATAGTGATTCTGACCATGATTATCAGATGAATGTCTTAAAGTATGGTCTATTACTGTAGGTCAAAGTACTATTATTATCTATATAAAGTGAACATTCTGGTATTTGTGGTTATGCTAAATATAAGCTACTTGTTGACAGAGGCTGCGCTTTGTTCACTCCTGTATCTCCAACAATTGGGAAAATGTATACAGTAGGTATTCAATAGCAACGATAGCATAAAGAATAAAGAAACAAATGTATTTCCAAAGTAGTATCAAAGATTTTAAAGGAAATAAGCCCAGATAATGTAGTAAGCATAAAAAAATCTAGGAAGCATAAATTGTGAGCATTCATTTTGTGGTAATGTCCTTTACAACCAAATAAATATAATTCTGTTCCTTTAGGTGACTTTTTGTACTTATGGCTATTATCCATTTCGACTTTGCTCCTACTTTTTCTATCTAAAGATAGTTGTCTTTAGTAATTAAATTCTCCTACCCTGGTTTAATTTTAGCATCTGAAGAACAAATTTTCATGATTCAATTTCATGTTTATTGATGATAAGTGATAAAACTGATTTTGTATGTGCATCAATGGCATTTTAAAAAGATCAATTTTTTACTTCCGTTTCTTCTCACCAGACCATCATTCATGCATGAAAATACACTATGCCTTGCCTTCACTAGTTGTGATGTGTTAGTTAAGAGTGAAAACCAGAAAGGAGTAATCAGACCTGGGTCCAAATGGTAACCATTGCTTACTAATTAGACTAACTTTATAAAGCTTTTGTTTCTCCTTTTCATTTATCTACAAAACTGTGATAACATAGGAAATGTTCCTTTGATAATAAAATGAAATGTCATTATATAATTAGTAGAGCAACTGACCTGGACAAAGAACCCTATAAGTGTACCCTTTTCTTTACTAACTCTCCTTATTTTATATAAGAACTCATCTTAGGCCTATGGGTGAGACAGCTAATCAGGATGAAGGGCAAATTATAAATTCAAGGAAAGGGACTTTTTTTTTCCTGGAAGACCATTATTGTCTACAACTGATAGCAATCAACAATTTTGGTTTCATCATCAACGCACTGTTGTAAAATAATATATTGGATTCCCAAAACAGCAAAGGCAAATTTTCATAGAAAAATAATTTCTTTTTATAGTAATATAAGGTTTTCATAATCACATAATAACCAAAATTTATAATAAACATCACTCTATTCATGTATCTAAAGTGATGTCAGAAAGTCTTAGAAAGTGGACTTGGCGATTATTTTTTCCCACTAGCTAGATAAGAAAACAGAGAATCAGAGAGGTAATTGCTTAACTATTGTTGATGGCAGATTGTATGTGTGTATTATTCTTGCATATTATTATTATTATATGGTAGTTTTTTAGTTGTGTGATCTCCCCTATGCTCCAGGACTCCTCACTGTGAAAAGGGGAGTTGAGTGAAGCCAAGACTTGAACTCAGATTCTCTCTGTGATAGAATTCTTTCCACTATAAACATCATTCTAATGAGCTGTATCAAAATGCAGTTTTAGGCAGATAGAGAGAGGACAAAATTTGATTAGTGTTTTGGTTGAAAAAAACTAAGTTTTGAGAATAAGCTTCTTGAACCAATCTGAGACCCCTCAGTTTTTATAGAAGTACTTTCAGTTGATATGGCAGGAAAAAAAAGTTGGTGGTTAATTAAGCCAGATTTTTTCTTGACTCTGTCACTGGATACTAGGAGAGCTTGGATAAATGTGTTGACTTATCTGGCCCTTTATAAATGAAGATGTAAGAGGAGGTAATGTCTGTAAAATGAATATACTACACTAGATAGTTTTTTTTTTCTTAACTCCATGCTACTATTACACACACATCTATACTTTTTGATTGTAAGAACTTGTTACTTCAAATAGAGAATGGTTTGACTTACTGAAACTTATGAGGGACAATTGCAAATACTGAAACTTATGAGGGACATTCACTATTTACTAGTGAATCACAAAACACTTCCCTAGTTAAAAGCTGTTTTCTCTGAGGACATTTCTTCTGAAAACTTCTTGTTTTATTTGGTGTGCCAGGAAAGAGAAACTGTTAATGATGATCATGCTTTCATGTAAGAACATCAACTCTCAGTAGTATTTAAAGAGGTTTGGCAGGTCTAAGATAATGTGAATAGTTTCTGAGAAGCATGCCTGAGCATCTGAATTTTTTTTAATGTGTCTTTGTTATTATTATTATTTAGTGTATTCAGTTTATAGAGAACTGACCCTTAGAGTACTTGAAAGTACCACTGAGCGTTCAGTCATCGAGAGGAAAATTATTATTTTAAAATACAATTTTTAGTGGTCCGTTCATTATATTTCTTAGCTTTCTTAAGCAAAAAAAAAAAAAAAAAGGAACTTTTGTGAAATATAAATGCAATGTGCTCCAAAGATCATTTGTAATATTCTAATCAGTTACCAAATTGTTGTTAAGCTTTAGGCTTTGAGGCTGACTTACAGGTTTATATGCTTTCCTATGCTAAAAAATTTTAATTAAGAAGACTTAATTTTAATACAAATCATAAAACTCATTTATTATTCATGAGCTTGCAACACACACATATTCTTTAAATACAAGAAAAATAGTCACTGTGTTATCTCCAATGTCTTCATGTTATATCATACTTCATAGTATGTACTGATACATCTAATTCATGAACTCTTGGGAAGATGCGACCTGTATTAAGATACTTAAAATGTTTTGACAATGTCATTTTAACTCAGGATTTCCCTTCATAAATATTTTATAAAGTAATTAAGGCATGAAATACACTTTTAAGTGTGGGCTTGAGTTAGTCATTTTTCCTTACAGTTATTTATGAATCATTTACCATGTTCTTGTTAAATAAAAGACAAAGGCTAAAAGGAAAAACTACCACAAAGCACATAACACATCAGAAAATGCATGGTTTCTTCCTTGGAAATATATATAACATTTTCTCTAGGATTATTCCAAATGAGCAGAAGACCTCATTACTTGAATCAATTTTCTCTAAATGATGCCATACTAAATCCTATTTTAATATAATTATGTAAAGTACAATACAAACAACTTCTATATGTCACACTTAAATAATGGACAAAATCATTTAAGGACAGATCAGAAAAACAGCCACTGATCGCTATTCACAATGAAATTATAAGATGACTAAGAAATTGTGAGGGGGTATGGTAAATATTATCTGGGTCTTGTATAAAGTATGTAAAACAAATATGTATGATTCTATCACTCAAAAATTCAACTCGGAAGTGAATTTGCAAACCTTTCAAGACAACCAGGGCGTTAAAGTGATACAACATGGTTCATCAACATGGACTTTTCTACCTTTATTATTTTTGATGGTCACACACTTAAAATTTGTAACTGTTTGCACCGAGGAAATCATTATAATGTTACCAATTCTGCCATAAAGAATGATAGCAAAAAATTTTAACTGTGTTTCACAAAGACATATTTAGGTAAACAATCATTACTATTAATTAATAGCTATGTAAGGACATACAAGTCATAGTTAAGTTGCAAGAAGATTAGGAAGAAATGTACTAATGAGATTAAACTATAGACGTAAAGCCTACAGGTGGTTGCCTTTTTTATTTAATAATTCTAATTTAATGACTATAAGCAAAAGTATCTTGATTCTGTTTCAGAATTTGCTCAAAATGAATAAATTTTCTGGCACATACAGAGAACGTGAGGCACTTTGATAAAATTTTACCTAATTTTTTCTTCTTTTGAATTTGGAATGATCAAATGCTAGTCAAAAGATATGGTGGGGCCAACATAAACATTTCTGTCGCATAGGTGTATCCCAAGGATTACCTGGGCCTCTTATTTAAGAGGATTATAGGATAAATGATTTTCAGTTGACTCCAGTAAATTGGGATTGAGTTTTAGAAGGCTCTGCTTGCTTGCTATATTAATCTCTTATCTTAGAAAATAGAAAGGTGAATATTTCTGTAACAGAAATTTATAGGATCCTCTCATTTTGTGGAAGCTCTAGTAATATTATTGTATTGTGAAATACTTACTGTTCTGTTAGGAATTCTGGGGTATTCTTTCCTTCAGATTCTTTTTATCTAAAAGGAAAACAACATAGCCACTGGTGAGTTGACTGCATAGTTCAGGATCAGTTCAGACTGTCTTTATTATAGATGATTAATTTTATTATGTTATATGTCTAATTAAAAATCTTCATATATATCCAAATACAATATAATGTCATGTATGTGTATATTTAGTATCTATAGAATAAGATAGATAAATAGTTAGGGGTCTTAAATTGGTTTGAAGAGCTAGAGATGAAGATTCTGTGAGTAGTTTATATATTGATTTTTGTTACAGGTTAATTATGCTTCCTCCTAATATAGTTTTTCAACTTGAAAAATGAAATAATACTAATCTAGGTAGACGTTGTTACAGAATATTACATTATTTATTTAAAAAGAATCATATGATTATTATTCAATTAAGTGCGTGGTGCCATATTTTGTATTGCTGTGATTACAGTTAACCCCTGAACAGTGTGGGAGTGAGGGGCATTGACCACCCCTTGCAATCAGAAATCCTCGTATAACTTTTCTTCTACCAAACTTGACTACTAACAGTCTTCTGTTAACCAGAAGCCTTCTCAATAACATATAAACAATTGATTAACACATATTTTTATGTTATATGCATTATATACTGCATTCTTACAATAAAGTAAACTAGAGAAAAGGAAATGTTAAGAAAATACATTGACAGTACAGTAGTGTGTGTGTATATATATATATATATATATATATATATATATATATCCACAGCTTAATGGACCCCTGCAGTCCAAACCTATGTTGTTCAAGGGTCAAGTATGTATGTGTGTGTGTGTGTGTGTGTGTGTGTGTGTGTGTCTGTGTGTGTGTCCCCCATCACGGGTAAAGAGAAAAATAATCTCACATCACTGCATTAAAAAAAAAAGTACAATTCTAGCTTAGGGAGTAGGAAAATGAAATCCTTGCCGAGTCAATATTAGGAATTGCTTTAATGTAATAAAGATGTCAAGAATTTCTGATTTGATTTGACAAGTTAGCAACTCACAAATGAAAAAATTTCACAGTGCTAGAGACAAGTGCCTTTTGATATAAGTTCTCATCAGTTTTAGTCTTCAAAAAATTTAGGTAGAATGAAAACCAAGAAAGAATGAAATATTTAAAAATAGGTTCATAATAGGCATGTTGCTCTGTTTCTAAGGGTTCTTACAGTGTCTGTTTTCAGCAGAACTACAACAATACTATAATGCTAGCAGCTCTGGCAGTGGGTTCATATAGGTACTCAGCGTAAAAGATCTGAAGTGACAGCTATATTTTCAGAGCTGCATTTACTGCATCTGTTCAGTGGTTAAGCCTCCAAGGTCTGCTTTCTTTTTATTTCTGCTTGAAACTCCAACTGTTTTCTAGTAAAAGCCATTAGAAAGAGAATTGTAAGAATGCATTTAGATTTGCCTGGCCGACTCTTAAAATATGACTTTGAGCCACAATAAATTTTTGATAAGATTTCTATATATAGTTCCCGTGTGCTGACACTTTTCTTATTAAAACAAAAACTACAACCACATTCCATGAGTGTACATATTAAGGAACCAGAGTGACATAGTGCTCCTTCCAGGAAATAATGGGGGTGGGAGGGGCTTGCTGAAGTAAATGGAGGTTTTCTACTAAAAAACTAAGAGAATATTTGACATTGTGTTTATTGTACATTAAGACTTACCAAGGGGCTGGCTTCCCAGAGGGATGCAGTGAAAGGATGAAACAGTTTTTGTGACTTATGAGCCATCTGCAGGGACTTGATTTCATTTTTGGATTAGATTTTTTTTTTTTTTTTTTTTTTTGCCTGCACATCTATCACAAGGATGAATGGGCAAGCCTGTTCTACTCTAGGGGACAAACAACTATTTTACTTTTAATCTGTGCACTGAATATGGATGTGCATAGTATTTTTCTAGTAGCTAATTTCTGTCTCTTGCATGTATAAACATCTTTATTTATTTTAGAAGAAAAAAGTGAAAATAGCACAGGATGATTTTGCACTTTCTGCCAACTATCTGGCTGTTCAGTAATGTAATTGGTATCAGTAGTTCTGACTCAGACAGTTTCCTGGTATTGAGACTTGGTACTTTCATGGGTTTATATGATACTTAAAAAAGTGTGAATCTTTTAAGGTAGATTTATGTATTTTTTACAAAATTTTTTACAAAACTCTATCATGTTTTTTAATCCAGTTTTAGAAGCAGGCCTGATATGGGAAAATAACTGAGACTTAGGGATTACTTTGCTTGACAACAGCTAGAAATTAAACTACTGTACCTTGCAGCCCAAATCGTAACCTTTTACAGCACTAAGCAAAAGCACTGTATGCTTTAGGCATAAATATTACAAATGCTTGACTTATTTTGTGGGAGGAGGGCACTATCTGTATTCATTTTAAATGAATATTTAAAAATGCACAGTTGTATTTTTTTTTAAAGGGGCTTAGTTTCAAGAATGACAACTAACATGTATTCAACCTTTGTTTTAAAAAATCTCAAATATTTCACCTTGATGAAAATGTTTATTTTAATGGAGCTTTTACTAACATTTCACTGAACTAAATATTTAGAGTTGGATTTAAAGTATGCAGTATGAATCCTTGCAACATGGTCATTTGTAAACATTATCTTTTTGCCCCAGGTATACTGGGATGGCATCAAAATCCCTACCCCATGTTTTAAATCTGAAAACTGCAAACTGTGGGTAAACTCAAAGTTCTTTTCCTTGGACATCTTCCAACTGAAATGCCAAAACTTGTGGTTAGAACGTGGTTACAAAGTTGATGTGTCATTTCCTCAACACACATATCCCTAATCCTTATGCAATTTTGTTAGACATCTTTTGGCTTAAATTCTTATTCTTAGAACAGTGGTCAGCAAGTAGAGATTACTTTAAAAAGAAACACTATCCAGGTCATTAGTGACTGAGTGTAAGATTTCAAACACTAAAATAAAGCATTACGTGACAACACTTAAATGTATCACGTGATTCTGGATTAGCTCCTGGACCAATAAGACAAAAACAATTAGCTATTAAGAACACTACTGTGACAGTAGATGAAATTTGAATATGGACTCTGAATTTGACAATGGTATTAAATCAGTGGTATATTGTCTGTGTTTGATAACTGTTGTGTGTAAGAAAATGTCCTGCTTTAGGAATTATACTAAAATACATGCTAAAATACTTGGGATAAGCCACACCAGATCTCCAATTAATTCTAAATGGCTAGGAAAAATATTATGAACTGTGTATATATAGACATATATAATATATATATATATATATATAACATATATAACAATATAGACAGAGAAAATCATACAGAACAAAATCGTACCAGTAACCCAGGTAAAGGACATATGAGAACTTCTCAGACTATCCTTGCAACCCTTTCTTGAGAGTTTTTATAAAAGAGTAAAACAATCATTACCAAAAAATGAGATTATAAAACGATCTTAAAAAAATAAAAATAGGGATCCCTGGGTGGCGCAGCGGTTTGGCGCCTGCCTTTGGCCCAGGGCGCGATCCTGGAGACCCGGGATCAAATCCCACGTCAGGCTCCCGGTGCATGGAGCCTGCTTCTCCCTCTGCCTGTGTCTCTGCCTCTCTCTCTCTCTCTCTCTCTCTCTCTCTGTGACTATCATAAATAAATAAAAAAAATTAAAAAAATAAAAATAAAGTGCCATTTTCAGTATCTTTACAAAATACTTCACTGAACTGCGACTACATTATTTTGTTCATTAAGCACAAGATTGTTACATTCTATGTACAACTATAAAAGATAGTGACATTTACCTGGAAAATGGAGAGTATTAGGCAATAAAAGAAAAGTAATGCATCAATTAATAGAGTAAACAAACAAATGTTCTATTAATAAATGCAATCACTGTTGGTACCTGTGGTGCTTCTGGAAGGAACGCTAGGAAGGAAATAACACAGAGGATGGGCTTTCCTTGAAAGAAAGGTAGAAGGGCAAAATATTTTTGCCTCATATTGTGGACAAAGGGACGTTTCTATTTCTTTCTTTTTTGTATCTAACCCCTGACAGCCACTTAAGAGACCTAATTTTATAAGCCTGTCCTCATTATGATAGAAGCAAATGTTTACCAACACAGACTGGAAAAGAGGGGGACAGGGATGAAGGCTCTACTCATTTTTCTGTTGTGACACTTTATTACACAAGTCGAAACACACAAAAACATTTGTTGGCAGTCATTACAATAATAACATATTGGGTTCAACCATGTTTAACATTTTCATTATATTCAAAATAATTATTTGAGAAGGGGGGCTGATAATGAGGCGGAATGGCACTAAGTCAGGAGAGTCCGTTTGTATCTTGAAAAGGAGGATGGGAATTAATTAAATGAGAAGCTCGCGGAAGTTAATTGGGAATGAGTGAAGATAAGGACACTATCAAAGCATGAAGAAATAAAACTATTAAAAAAAAGAAATAAAACTATTAAAATAAAAGGTATAGCAGAAACAGCACACCCAAGAGAAAATGAACCCTGCAGAATCAGGAGTGTAGAGGAGCAGAGTTATGCCTGTGAGGGCTCCTGTTGGCTTCCCACCCCTACAATAGTGCCTGCCACATGAATAAATGTTTGCTGAATGAATAATGGTATATTGACAAAAGTAAAATTTAGTGTTATATAATCCGAGTCTGCTTCTACCTCTGTCTAATGTGTGACTTTAGACAAATCATTTAATCTAATTTTATCAGCTGTGAAATGAGACAGTGGAAAAAAAGGTGATTCTCCAAGGTGCCTTCCAGATCTAAATATTTCTGTATATGGTTCTGTTTATTAAAATGGGCAACTGTGAACAGTTTCGTAGAAGAGAACAGCCTTATATGAGTTTTAAATGAAGAGAAATGGGGAGAAATAGAAAACATGAATGAAAGAGCAATGCATCGATTCAAGTAATGGAAAATAAATCCCATCGAAAGAGACTTTAATATAGAAGAGAATGAAGGTGATTTATGGTTTTGTTAGAGGTGACATTTA